CGTTTTCCTCTTTTGTTTTTTATCCGCCATCTCTATCTTTCTGTGGCTCGGCTCGGCTAATGTCCGTCCTGTGCACTGAACGCTCCCTCCTCCACATCATGAGTAGACATGCCCCTTACTGCTGATTGGCTACAAGTTTGTTTTGCTATTCGGCCCGAATCGGTTTTCTAAAGCATTTTTGAAAAATCGCTTACCCCACCTTTAAGCAGCACAACTGTTTTCAACACTGATAATAATAAATGTTTCGTGAGCATCAAATCTGAATGATTTAGAATAATTTCTGAAGGATCATGTGACACTGAAGACTGGAGTAATGATGCTGAAAATTTAGCTTTGCATCACAGGAATAAATTACATTTAAAAATGTATTCAAATAGAAAACAGGTCTAAATTGTAATAATATTCCACAATGTTACTGTTTTTACTGTATTTATAATCAAATAAATGAAGCCCTGGTGAGTGTAAGACTTCTTTCAAAAACAATAACAATCTTACCAACTGCAAATTTTAAAAAGCAATGCTATCTCCAGATTGAGGCAAAGTGTTTGAAGAATTTTTTTTTTAATGTTTGACATTAAACAAATGTACTTTTATAATTTCAATGAAGTACTATTGAGTTTATTTTGGAGAAATGTGAATTTTTGGACGAGAATGTACATTGTACATACAAGTTTCAAATCAAACCTGAAAAAAATGTGATCCAAGTAATCAAGTAACCTTAATTATTAGCACAAGCTGATTGATTTATATGGTCTATATGACTCATTGTTTGGCTGTAGTGCCAACTTTAATTTTTCAGTATGTGTTAAGCATCTGTTATGTGATTAGCTCACACTCCACACTCCTACACACAGGCATATTCAATTACAAAAAAGAGAGAGGTAGGAAACAACAAATTCAGTATACTACTAAAACAGGATGGTCCAGTTCACAAAAAACATGCTTTTGCTTCGAAAAACATGAGACAAGAGCAGTGGAATGGGGAAAAAAAGTGCCATGTCATGTGCGAGATGCTGCAAAAGATGTGAGCACAATGGACAAACATGTCTTTCAAGTTGTTTTACATAGAAAAACAATGGAAAAGTGGCACAGTGGAATGGAAATGTGTGTTAATGACCCCTAAGATGTTTTTAATAGAGATCACGTTATATTGTAGTAGGGCTGGGACAATAAATCGATGCATCCCAAATCGAGAAATTATTCTGCATCGATTTTGAGATTTTCCGAAGGCATCGCGATTCTCTCTTGAATCGATTCTGAGCTAAGTTTTTAACAGCAGATGGCACTGCGTTTAGTATTTAGAAATAGCCGTATTCTGCTTGCTTCCAGTTCCTTACAGACGCACCATTTGAACCTAAAATAATCATTCATAAAGTACGAAAAGTCTGAAGGTCGAATTACAAGGATGTTCACAGGGTTGTGTGTTTACATTAATCTCGCATCATAAAAGCCTATGTGCAAGTACATTTAACCACTTACATTACTCAGCTGAACGCACAAGCGCTCTTCTTCGTGAGCATTTGAGTGTGCAGTTAAAAACTAGCCTTGAGCGCCATCTGCTGTTAAAAACTAAGCTCCGATGCATTCCGAAAATCTCAGAATCGATCTACGAATCGCGATGCATCGATTTATTGTCCCAGCCCTATATTGTAGTAGATAAAGTGTATTTGTTTGTTAGTAAGATTTCTTTTTTTTTTATAAATTAATAATTTTATTGTTTTTACCAAGGATGCGTTTAATTGACCAAAAGGGACTTTTAGAATGTTACAAATGATTGCTATTTCAATTTTCTTTAACTTTCTGTTCAACAAAGAATCCTGGGGGAAAAAAGTATCATGGTTTTTACAAAAAAATTTATCAGCACAACTGTAACACTGACAATAAGAAAAAAATGTTTCTTTAGCAGCAAAACAGCTAATAATAATGGCTGCTGTAAATACAGCTATGCATCACAGGAATAATATGAAAAATTTGTTATATTTGTATATTTTACATGTATTTGTGTCACTATTAGTTTATTTACACATGAGAGAAACATGGCGTGGTATATAATAATGGTATATGATATAAATATAGTCATACCGTGATGTATATAAATAAACACACTTTACATTGCAATCTCTGAACATACCGTTGGCCATATGCTCCAGCGATCCCATGACAAGGCTGTCATAGATGTGCCCCCTGATTCTGTTTGTCAGGCCTTGGTAACGCTGGGTGTCTTTGGCCACATGAACAAGCACCTGAGCAAAGGTATATCCCCCTATGGAGAAAGCATGGACCAGTAGAGGGCGCTGTGAGAAGCGCTCGCTCTCTAATAATTCCAGCACACGACCACCATACTCCAACCCCCAGCGAGGCCACAAGAACTGGCTCACCTCACTTTCCACTACGAGCACATCAAAGCCCATGCGAAAGTAAATCTCACAGTATTTGGCAATGGCCTGCGGCCTGGAGCCCAGCGATGGCAGCAACAGCAGTATCGGTTTAGGGTGAGCAGGTAAAACACTAGCCGTGGGAGTCCCAGCGACACCATTGGCGAAGAAGGTGATGTGTTTACTGATCTTGTGAGCAGTGACCCCTGCCATGGTGGCCGCTCTGGAAAGCAGGATAGCAGGTGAGCTAAAGAAAGGACAGAGTGGAAAGAACAACAGTTCGTTTTTATAAAAGGCACAACTGACTCCAACTTACTCACGTGTTGGTCGGCGCCAAAGAAATCCTCTCAATGCCATATGAACTCTAGAAATCTGCCTTTTAAAGAAATATCTAATATTCTGGATGAACAACATGCTGTATTGCCTTAATTCTTGCAGTTGTTTTAGTTAAGGTCTGAATCGATTAAAAGAGTGTGCTTCTCAGCCCATTTCGGATGTGTTCATACTTCATACCGTATCTGATAGACCATGGTGAAGAAACCTTCTCCCCTGGGAGAGAGCAATCTACATTTTATGAAATGCTAAATAGTTGTGTGTTGCACCATTAAACTTGATGAAGTTAAATGTAAAACTGCATGTAAAATAGCCTAATACTAAACCAACGCCTCTGACCAGGAGTGATAGCAGTCTGACTGAATTAAATCAGTGAGATAGTTTTGCTGACAGACTAAAGCCTTTAGACATATAGTATTTGATCATGTTTACATTTGATATATCATATATATCATATATCATTATGCAATTATATATATAACATTACAGAGGACTTAAAACCTATTAGCGTTTCTAACAACTAAACTAGAAGTGCTGAATAAGTTGAATAACAAAATAAGTAGCTACTAACCCCTTACAGTAACCTTTATGCTCTGATTTAAGCAAGACCATTTGAAGGTCACTTTAGCAAGAAGTCCAGAGGCTGTCCTGCCTGAGTGGATACTTTAGTACTCTAAACAAGTCATTTTTAACATGTTTGCCACATAGTTTTATAAAATCTGACAGCAACTAGCAGTCATAAAACTCACAAAGTGGCCTTACAAGGTGCACATGATCTAAGTTGATGTTATTTTTTCTAAGAGTTCACAATTTCCTGTGGAAGAAATTTTATTAAGGTTATATTTGCATTTTCTGTATTGCTTAGAGTCACATGCTTCTTTGCTGATTTAACAGAACAAAGAACAGCTATTGATCTTTAAGATGTGTGTGACAGTAAAAGAGCACACACAATCCTTATTGTAATATGGAATTGTAATGGAATGGTAAAAGGGTGTTGGTACGGAGCCGCGAAACTGGCTAACTAGAACATATTAGGAAAGGCGATTTTCAAAGATTCATAAAAAAAACCTTGTACTCACTTCTTCTGTAGATGAAGCTGGATCATGAATGATTCGCGCGAACATAGACGCATTTAGGTCGATCTGGATCTGCACATTCCCTTCAAAAACGAAAGTAACGTTAATCCTCTGCGTCTTCAGCGGCTCAGATGTCGGGAGTAAATGACGACTGCTATGTTCATTATTACATCCAGCAACAAAACATCTCAATCGCTTAATCTGAGACATTCTTGTATTCCCCCGCAACCGGAGTCGACACAATGGCGGACTGATGACAGCTCACTCAGGGCGGGTCTAAGGTAAGACGGCTTTGACAATCAACTATCGTGGGAGGGGCCTGTGCAGAACTACATCATTCTGACAGGAATCTCAGAACAGCCTGATTTGAGAAAGGAAGATGTGTGTGACAGTAAAAGAGCACACACAATCCTTACTCTAATATGAAATTGTAATGGAATGGTAAAAGGGTGTTGGTACGTGACAGGAGGGCCTCCACCCAAGGACAGAATATGATAAGCAAGTCTAAGAATGTGGTTGAAAATACCATCATTGGCCTAGAGAGATAACATTCTGAGAGATGAGACTATAAGAGAGGAAGGACGCCCTCCCTTCACTGTCACACTCTGCAGTCACTCTGAGTGACTGTATGACTGCAGGCCTTTTCTTGCAAGAAAATAATACTCAAAGACAATTGGTATATTTGTCTCTTATTCGGAATTGTTTTTTTATTTGCCACAACATTCCCTTTCATCTAAACAATCGTATGTAATGGAGGACGTCTAAAATATGTAGCATTGGGGGGCCTCCAAAAGCAGGATGGACAAATACAGAGGAATGTGTGATCAAAGGTCAAAGAACAAACACACACATGGATTTTGACGTGGGTCAAAAAATTAGTGGCATGATTCTCAAACCACTGTCAAGTAGGGCTGTGCGATTAATCGATCGAATCGAAACCGCGATTTGAGACGTTGCGATTTGCTAATCGCAAAGCTTGCGATGTGGACGTGATATTACTCTGTTCCAGAGCATATGCATGACTGCCAGCCTTGAGTTGCAGTCTTACTTGCCCTGGG